AAAGTATTTGACTTATACAAATTATTTCAACTGCCAAAAAAAGTTAGTAAAGATTTTACAAATAAAGTCAAATTCATACTATTTGAAAAGCATAGAATCCATGCCTACGAGGTGTACTGCATTAAGACAGTTTCCTACAGCCTGTTCTGAAAAAACACAGCACAAGCATCTGGTCCAACAAGGGAGCAGACGATGGGTTAGCACAGCTGAGTCTCCTGCAGCCATCTGCCTGACCCCACCTCCTACCGCAGGCTTTACTTCTGCTCTGCAAAGCCAGTATGACCCATAGCTCAAAGAAATGTCCTTAGCAGCATTTAGTGTCCCACGCACTGTTAGCTTCCCATTTCAAAATAACAACTACTAATTAGGAGATCTATATGCTTCTGAAGGCACCCAGAGCCCCTACAGAATTAAGAGCCTGCACTTTCTCAGAGTGCTTAGCAGGGAAACTTTGTCACTTCTATCTTGCCTAATTTCGATTAAGATACATGAAGAGGACTGTAAGTACTCTACAGCCAGTGTGAGAAATGCTATTGCTTCCAAACATTTCAGGTGAGAAAACTATCACAATTACAAACAAATTGTTTTCCTCAATCCAACGGTTTAACAACTGAGCTACTTCTGCAGCCACCACCAGAGTATATTACAATGAATTTGTGAACTAATAAACTAGAGCTAGTCTGAGATGTGAAATAGTCCTTCCAGCAGCAATGAAGAATCCACACCTTTTGAAATAGTACCTGCAATAAGCACTGGGGTTTTTAAGTTGAGGGAAGAGGATATAGGAAACAGAGTGAAACTGATGGCTCGCTTAATGGCACATGCATTATGAAACATTAAGAAAAACAGACAGTGAAGTCTGCAAAGGCAATGTTCATCTACCTTGGCAATTTATGAGGGGAAAAAATACAACCTAGCAAGTATTTTCATGAAGACTAATCATCAACCTCAAGATTTCCTCCTCAGATTGCTAAGCAAGCAGGACACAGACAAAGAATATTACACTCCTTTTGCAAATTCCTAAATACACTTAAAAATCTAATTTCATGGAGGAAGTGAGCATCCAAAGAAAACACATTTCTTTTGTTACTATTACAAGTTTGATAAAATAACATGCAGTTGAGCACTGCTGGATATTTAGCCCACAGACACAAGCCAGAACTCATTTAATGCTCTGTGTAAAGTCTCCTTGTGATCACTTTTCTTCTGCATAAGGAGACTAAGCACAGCCAAAGCAACACAGCATAACCTGCACTAAGGCAGCTGGCCTGCATGATCACAGAGGTTCTGCTCATATATTGCTTTAAGACATTCAAGCTTCCTATTTCAGAGGCAAAAAAATTAAATTCGTCTAGTGTGGCTAATTAGAACAGAGGGTCATGATTTCCACTCCTTCACATTTATACAATTCAGAAAGTTCTGCCTGCTTTGTTGCAAGTCAATATTTCATAGAATAATAAAATTGTTAAGGTTGGAAAGGACCTCTGAGATCAAGTCCAACCATTAACCTAACTGCCTGGTCCACCTCTAAACCATGTCCCTAAGCACCACATCCACAAGTTTTCTGAACACTTCCAGGGACTGTGATCGCACCAGTTCCCTGGGCAGCCTGTTCCAATGCCAAACCACTCTCTCTGTAAAGAAATTTTTCCAAATATCCAATCTAAATCTCCCCTGGCACAACTTGAGCCCACTTCCTCTCGTCCTGAATTTTGTTTACTATCAAATTACTTTCCAGAGATAGAGCTACAAAATACAAATTTAGCATTTCATCTTAAGTAGTAGGGGTAGACATAAGAAATTGTTACTGAAAAGATTTGTCTTGAGCCTTGACTAAATAGTGATACAGAGGAAAATTGATGAAAACAGTTTCAAAGAAGTTTTATTTAATTTTTTTGTATCTCCTAAATGCAACTAAAATGGCCATTGTTTCCAAAGGTAAACCAACTAGAAGTTACTTCAGCTTTGAACAGCAGCATCTAGAGAGAATGATGAAATCACTTCCATAAATATTTCAAGTTTGTTGGCTGTACTCCATTTAAACAAGTCCTAACTTTTTCCTTAAAGTCCAAGTTAAGCTAAAAGTACCTTCTCAAATTTACCCTGCAGTTAGTGTTTTTCCACTCTTAAAAAACATCCTGAATGTGACAATGACTTGAAAAATGAATTCTGAACTCCCAGTAAGCATACTTATTATAAACAATAATCAAAACACCAGAAAAATATTTGTGATATCCTGTGGTGCATAGTGCAGCTACAACCTCACAACTCTCACATGGCACAAAAATGAACATGCTTCTACATACACGAAATGTCAAGGAGCAGATGCCTCTCTGCCGCCCCTACAACCTGACTGCAAGCAGGTCAGCCAGTGCTGACTGGTCCGGCAGCAGCTTTCAAAACCCAGTTCTGCCTCCTTGCAAGATGGAGAGCCTGAAGAACCATTATAAAACTAGAATCCTTTTTTCCAAGTGGAAATAAAATGCATTTAGAAGGGATGCTTTTGCAAGAGAGAATGCAGGCCTATGAGAGAAAGAGGAAGGTGTATTACAGGATAAAAAGTCACACCAGTTAATAACTGCAAAACCACAGTTACTCAGCATCAGCTGACTGTCAGTGCCTACCAAATATTCAGGTGGTGAGATTGTAAAGAGCAGATACTGTACCATTTCCTGCATTTTGCAGCAGCAGCCTAGGATAACTGCTGCTTATCAGCAGCCATCAACTGCTCATCAACTGCTGATACCACCTGCTCCTTGGTAACTACAATTTGAAGTAACCCATAAGCACACACCAAAATTAGCTGCTGCAAAAATGAGTTATCATTCAGCAGCTAATGAGCACCGACTAACGTATGCAAGTTCTTAACAGCCTCATCAACGATACAAGAGCAGCAACTGCACCAACAGGTCATCAATAAATCATACAGCACCTACTCCACTCTGCAACAAAATAGGAATTTACACAGAGGTCACAAAGCTGTGACAATTTAACATTTTATTGCATACGTTGTGTAGGAGAACTAAAGGAGTAAGAACAAGTTCACTAGGTACCAGCCTTCGTAAAAAGCGGATTTACCACAATACTCCTTGCATTCAGTACTTTGAAGTTATCAAGCATTTGGAATGTAAGAATTAACAAAGACTGCTATTTGATCACTTGCTTAATCCCACAGAAATTCAGGTTGTCCCCCAAAAAAGCAAATTCTCATCTCTGTTCCTCGAGCTGACACTAGCACTTGTGTGGGCAGCCTTCTTACAGAGCTGATCAGCCTGAAGGGTTTCTGACTATCAGTTAGTTTTCAGTCCCTCTTGTTCAGAGTCAGCACAAGCACTAATGCCGATACAAGAAGGAAGAGAGGACAGGTACCTGAGTGCAGGAATGAGAACTACACCCTTAGTCAGGTTCATATTTAATATACTGACTGAAGTAATAGCTACGCTGCCAGTTACAAAGTACGGTCCTGCAAACCACAAAATATTTCATTGAATTACAGACTGTCATACTGAATGTTGAAAAGGTACCCATTTAGGCCTTTAGGTAGGCTTTTGCCCTCACCTGAAGAGGAATGCAATTCTCAACACATACGAGGAAACTGCTTCTTCTGAATTTTAAATTTGGGTTGATTTTTATTTATTATACATCAGTAGCTGAAGAAGCCACAACTCAACTGTTTATTGGGAAAGAACATACAGCAGAGTATTTGAACTTTTGCTTAGAAAAGAAATTATTTTAGAAATTTTTAAAGAGAAATCAAGACTCAGACTGTTCATAAAAATCAGTTCTGTGCATACCTGAATCTTCTTGTTTCCCCTCACCCACCCATAATTTTACCATTTGTCGTCATTGACAAACATATTAAAATGAAAAGAACTGTTCCCGTGTTACAGGGAATGTTTCCATTTTCACAGCTTGTATTGGTGAAACTATAAAATTAAAACAAAATTCACAAACAATCCAAGCAAGCTGCGGAAAAACAAGTTTTCGTCTTGTTTCGCCTGTAATCCCTTATAAATTTTAAAAAAAAGTAAAAAAATTCAAGTTCTGCAATGGCAACAATTTCAGTTATTAAGTAGTAATTGAGTTATTTATTTAATATCACCTGTCATTGTAACTGCACAGTGTTAACAAATTGACTTCTAGTCAATGTAATAAAGGAGCTCAGAGTAGATTAAGTTCTTATTCTGAGAAAACATACAAAAATCACAACTATTATATTAAAAACTCTGTTGTAAGTATATACGAAATAATTACCAAGCATTTGGTTCGTACAGTGCTGCTCTAAGTCATGAAATCAACTACTTGATGCAAGAGAGTCAGTGCTAGAAATGGATGCCTGGGCAACCATCTCAAATTTGTCTGCCTGGGGACACATTTAGAACAAGAGGGAGTTGGTCTGTATTCATTACAAAGTTGGAACCATAAGGTAAAAGGAAAGGAAGCTATTAATCCAAAGAGAAAGAGACTTCAACGATGCCAAGTTCCCTGTATTGTCCCATTAAACTACTTCTATCGTTCAGTGACCTAAAGCAGCAGATGGTTTTCTTGGGATTTCGCCGTCCATTTAGACACTCACCAATCCCAATTTCAAAAAAACAGATGCAATGTTTTCCTATTACAACTCAGACAAGAGTTTAAACTGGTGACCTGAAGAGAAGCAACCTGAAGTTTGTGAACCTCGTGTCATCTAGTTCATTACATACTGCTGCCAACCCATATTTAAATGTAACCATATTTTGTAAGCGAGAATAACTAACCTAACTCCATTCCTAACTACAGTACAAAATCTAAACTAATACTCTGAAATATTTGTTAGCTCTGGAAAGGTGCCCAAAAGCATCACCTGTATTAGTACTTTAGACTGTATCTCAGTTTGTCATCCAGCAGATCAGACTCAAAAAAGAGACATCACATGGCTGCAACCGTTTCAATATTCAACTATGCACTACAAGTGCTCTATGTTCCCCCCTTACCCAGTCACTCAGTTCGGAAAGAATTGCTCAGAATTTCTGAGGTTCAAACATGGTCAGTTCTTTCCCATCATACAGCTCTTGCAGTTGGTTTGACTCGTATTTTATGGAGGGTTTTTCAATTTGCATCCCAGGCTCCAGAGCATTCTGTCCAACTATTTTAAGATTCATAACTTTTATTTTCCAGGTATTCTCCCTAGTGGGACAGCTAATGAGTCCAAAAAATTGTTCAAAGATGCCCAAGCAAGTGTTGTCTCTATGTACTGTGCCAGCCACAGCTACCAGTATTAACCCATGTGGAGACATGGCACATTTCAGTCCATTGGCATGCAAATTAGGGCTGAATAGAAGATATTCGTCTTTAACTAAGGAGAGCAGACGAAGGCTCACCATTTCTGCACCAACATATTCTTCCATGTTTTTTTCTAATGTGTTGTAACAGAACTTCATCCTGGCATCCTCCCAAAAATGCTGTGGTCCCCATCTTTCTTCAGATTTTACTCCCAAGGGATGTTGAGAATTCAGGAGTTTAAAGAACCATTGACAGAATTCTTCTCCTAGATCGTGAATGTCATCTTGTGGTGACTTTTGTCTCTGTCCATGACTCTGCAATCAAGCACATTTTTTTCTTTTTAGCCTTATTCTTTTATTCAGCTTTAACATGCAAGATTACCACTTAGAACAACACAAAATCATGTAAATACTTATTTTAAACATTCTAAGTCTTCTTCAAGTGTTCCAAGACAGAGTGCCTGAAGAAAAACAAGAAAGTCAAATCTCATTTATTTTTTAAGATCATGATTATCTTATCACCTAGAGAATTGGGGTAGGTTCTTTAAATTACAGTTAGAACAGTCCTTCAGTTTTGTCTCAGTCTACAATTTATAAACAAAGAGGAAAATCCTGGTCCTACTGAAAAAGGGCAGGGGAAAGATTTTTGAACAACTTCCATGAGACCACGGTTCTCACACAGAGAGAAAAAATTTCTGTGGAGTAAAAAGTGCCTGGGTTAGTAACTTTTCAGTGGCCTTTACATTTCCAAAAGAAGGTTACAGAAAAACAAGGATACAGACCCAACCTGAAAAGCTAATCTCATATTAAGGCATATCAGTTTACTAAAAAGTGCTTATAAGTAAGCAATTCTGTTGACATGTTTTTCCTATTTCACGTTGCCTTCAGTCTCTTCTTTTTGGTACCTTTCAATTTGGTGAATTGTGTTGGTCTCTGCATCTTCATATAGCTGATAAGAACAAATAGTACTTATTGGGAAGTCACATTTTGAATATGCACATAGAATCACAGAATCATTTAGGTTGGAAAAGACCCTTAAGATCATCAAGTCCAACCGTAAACCTAGCACTGCCAAGTCCAACACTAAACCACATCCATAAGAACTACGTCTACACATCTTTTAAATACCTCCAGGAATGGGGACTCACCACTTCCCTGGGCAGCCTGTTCCAGTGCCTGACTACCCTTTCAGTGAAAAATTTTTTCCTGATATCCAACCTAAACCTCCCCTGGCACAACCTGAGGCCATTTCCTCTTGTCCTATCGCTTGTCACTTGGGAGAAGAGACTGACCCCCACCTCGCTACAACCTCCTTTCAGGTAGTTGTAGAGAGCGATAAGGTCTCCCCTCAGCCTCCTCTTCTCCAG